GTATAACTCATAATAATTATTTGAAATGGTAAAACCATAATATTTTATTTTATTTTTAGGGATACGTGGATGGAAGTATATTAAAATTGGGATCGCATCCAAACGACAATAAAGAAAGCACTGAAGATATTGTAATACTTTCATACATTTAAAAAAAAAAACATATTATTATTAAAACTATTTCGCATTGCCRTATATCTTACGATAAATTATAATCATATAAATTTACCTCGTCGCCTCAGGTGTATTATGTGAAACAAATTATCATTAGAAAATGCATAATATTATGTTATTAATATTTAATATTGTAACTATTAAACTCAGATAATATAAAATATGAAGGTGTATGAGTAGACAACATAATTAAAATCTTTCAACTGTTTTTATACAATAGATTAATATATACGATAAACTTATGAAGTATTAAACATGTTTTGTAGGAAGCGGTTACGGGTGGAGTAGAGTTAGCGCCATTACTTGCGGCAAGAAGAAGACAAGAAAATAAATGGCCTTTGCACACCAGCGATGTAACGAAAAATTATGATCCTAAATCAAAGCAAGTTATATTTTATATAAAAATAGTTATTCGTTAAAAAATATTACTGATTATTATATTTTTCATATTTTTAAATAAATGATTTATTTTTAACAATAAAAAAACATTTCGATTAAATTATTTGTAATGATTAAATATGATATTAAATGATTTTTAAAGTTATATGATTTGTTTCCAGTTTCTTGATAGATGAAAGAGAATATCACCAGTTTCTTGAAAGACAAATCAGCGGACGTGAAAAACGCAAACAAGTAAGAATGGCATTACTGCATTAGTATCTAAATGCGATTATATATACATGCTATTATATTGTATTATACAATAACATGACGATTGAATACATAATAAACCTACTTAAACATTGGATATAAAAAGTGAAAAAAAAATGATTACTCATTACAATGAACTAACAAATATATTGGGAAATATGTTGTTGATAAAACTTTTAATCWTTTATTTTATCGACAAYTTTAGCACGAGCACGAAGAAGATATACAAGAAGGACAAAAGCATCATGAAAATTGGAATGAATTCTGGGGTAGACCTGGTGGTGGAGCGCCAAAAGGAACAACGAGACAAAAAGAAAATCTTGAGTATATGCTATATCAGCTGCCTATAATTAACAGGCTGAAAGAAAAAGAAGAGAGAAAAAATTGCGGCGATAGCAAACAATCACCAGAAAAATAAACAATTTTTTTACAGCTTGTCTCGTTGAATCGTTTTAATATTCAACTATAGTAATTGTTCACGATGAGAATAGCGGTACTTCTAACAATTTATGTAATAATATGAATAAACTTGCGGGTTAATTTAGTTCGTAGAATAATGTTAAGAAATACAATTTAATTTATAAAAATTAATCTTTGTTACACATGGCCCGATTTTAAGTTTCATTCAACTTTATAAAATTATATAGGATTCACATCAATACAATTTTTTAATTCACGTTTAATATTAAATAACATCATATTTAGAATTTGAGTCTAGTACGAAAGTATAATAATATGCATTAATTCTTCAATAATGAGAATGCTATAAATTTGTTTCTTCATTTTATGGACCCTCTTTTTTAGTTGGGTAATCATATTAATAGTATTCAAAGAATATTACATACTATAGTAAATTGCCGTTGGATTAGAAATTAAACACGAATAATTTTAAACTATGATTATAATCTTAATTTTAATGACCCTTAAAGACTTTCAAAGTGCCTACAAGATTGAAGATTAAAAAATGAATAACTCAAAGATTTCAAAAATATTAAAAATTATCTAAGACCTAAGTCTGACGAAATGTTTTTGACCAGCTGCCTTAGTTCTTTTAAAAATAAAATATGAACATCATACTGAAATTATAAGTATATTATGGTGTTTTGATTGATCAGTAATTTTAAATTGTTTTTT